TTTTTTTTTTTTTTTTTTTTTTTTTTTTTTTTTTTTTTTTTTTTTTTTTGGTAGGTTCTCGCTTTGTAGTCCAGGCTGCCTCAAACTCACTATGGATTCCAGGCTGCCTCAAACTCACTGATCCAACTGTCTCAGCTTTCTGAGTGCTGAGATTACAGGAAGGCACCACCACGCCCAGTTTAGCTCAGGATTATTAATTGCCTGGCTGGAGAGGACACAAGGGACCTCCAGGGCTTCTTCATCCTCTGCTTTTGTTGCTATTAACAGGTTTGCCAATGCCCGTGAAAAGATCTTTCACTTAACCCAGCAGAATGGCATGGACCAAGCGTCTCCCTCACTGGTAGCCATAAAGCCCAGGACAGACACACTCTGGGAGGGGACAGAGCAGCTCTAGGCTGAGTATGGAAATACCCCAGGAGCTCTTCTCCTGGGGGTGTGGAAGAAGAGAACCCCAGAGTGAGGGGCCTTTGCCCTCAGGGGCCTCAATGCTTAAGCCTATCTGTGTTTACTTAGAAAGAACTATGCCCTAGTTACTTTTCTCTCCTTGCTGAGACAAAATACCTGATACTCACAGTTAAAGGGGAAAGGATCTATGTAGCTCACAGTTTGTAGAGGTTTCAGTCCGTAATGGGCTGGCTCCAAGGCAGAGGGGCATCGTAGAGGAGAAAGGTAGCAAGCTACTGCATAGTGTTTTTTTTTTAAGGCAACAAAGGAAGCTTAACAGTGTCTTTCTGCCTCTTCTACCCTATCCAGACTGCCGGGTTAGGGCAGTGCCAAACCAATCGGTGTGCTGGTTTAGTAACCACACACCCTTGATCCCAGCATCACATACTCTAGATTCAGCCACTTCTGAAAAAGCCACCTAAGGCCACGTGAGGCTTTGAGGGGACACCTAGACTCAGGCCATAGCAAGCTGGCAAGGGACTGTTAGCGGGGACTGGGGACTAGGGGCACAGAGGGTGGTCTGGGTCTCTGAAGGGAAACTATGAGCTGAGCCACACACAGTTCACACCCATGTGCCCTTGGCACAGCTGGAGGATACACTTTTGTGTGTGTGTGTGTGCGTGTGTGTGTGTGTGCTGGAGATCGAACTCAGGACCTTGTGCTTGCGAGGCAGGCAGCGGCATCACTGAGCCAAATTCGCAGCCCAAGGAGATGCCTTACCTTTCCTGAAGCGAGAGAAGCCCCTGCCCTCTTCTCTTCCGGGTAGGAAAAGTGAGAGGCACAAAGCTTGTTCTCGATACATATCCAGGTGATGAATTGATGTGTTTTATCTTTTCTTCTCACAACAGACTTAGAAAGGGTTTATTATGCCCATTCTCCAAATTCATAACAGACAAAAGAGATTAGGTGACTTGCTGGATATGGCAGAGCCAGATGTCTCTAACTCTGCAGTGTTTTTTTGTTTTGTTTTTTGTTTGTTGTTTTTTTGTTGTTGTTGTTGTTTTTTGGTACCAGGGATCGAACTCGGGTCCTTAAGCTTGCAAGGTAGGCGGTGGAACTACTGAGCTAAATCCTCGGCCCTGCAGTGGCTTTTTTTTCCCATCTAGAGCCCCTGAGGCCGTGTGTGTGTGTATATGTGTGTGTGTGTGTGTGTGTGTGTGTTTCCGCCTAACATAAGCTGTTTTAAATGTACAATTCAAAATTTTTTCCATCGCCCCAAACTCTATAGTCATTAAGCACTGACTTCTCTCTCTCCCTAACAGCCCTAATCTCTTAAGACCCTCTACTCCATTTTGGGGGGTGGGTACAAGGCCTTTGCATGGAGATATGCATTCTTAGCCTTTTTTTTTTTTTTTAACAGCAGGTCTTGCTAAGTCGTTCAGTTGCCCAGACTTGAGATCCTGAAATCCAGAGTGCTGGGGTGACAGGTGAGCACTGCCAGGATGCCTGGTGTCAGTTCTGTTTTCTGTCTCTATGAATTTGACCATCTGAGGGACTTCATATAAATAATGTGGGCCAGGGTTATGGCTCAGTAGCATGGAAACTGCCTGGCAAGTACAAGGTCCTGAGTTCGATTTTTTCCAAGAAATAAAAATAATATGTATAGAATTATAAAATATTTGTCTTTTGGTCTAGCTTATTTCATTCACAATAACATCTTAAGTCAGAGCCTCATTTCTTTTTATGGCCTGTCAAGGTTTTGTGATTGAAAATGACAGATTTGCAGCCAGGCGTGGTGGTGCATGCCTGTAATCCCAGCACTCGTGAGGCTGAGGCAGGAGGATCGCTGTCAGTTCGAGACCAGCCTGGGCTACATAGTGAGTTCCAGGGCAGTCTCAACTACACAGTGAGACCCTGTGTAAAAAAAAAAGGAAAGAAAGAAAATGACAGATTCCCACCCTTGGCCAGAAGTGACAGGGTTATTGTAACAGCCTTGCAGCATGGAGGAAAACAAGAATGTCTGGTGCTCGTGACCAGCTCCTGGCACTCTGTGAAAGGGAGTGCTTGGGGCTTTGCTAATTCTGTATTTCTGTCACTTCAGTGAGATGCTGTCTTTTTCCTCTTTGTGCCCTCGTCCTCTGCTCCTGTTAGCAGCTTACAAATTCTGCAAAGATTTCTGGTCATTTCCTGATGTCCCCAGTCATTTCATGCCACTCACCTTCCAGGTCACCTACACTCCTGGAAACTAGCTGCCCGCGAGCCCAGCTTCTGTCCCTAGTAGCCAGGGAGCTAAGGCTGTGCTGTCTGACACAGCCCCTGCCGCGCACCACACTAGCGCTTCCCTCGCTGCCCACTCTGGTGCTGTTGACTGCACTTTAGCTCTGGGGTCCGTGTCCACCGCGGACCTCACAGAACCTGGGGCAGAGGCATGCACGTCTGAGGGGATGAGCACAGTGAGGCATTTCCGCACATCCTTCTCCAGATGCCAACACATGCCATATGGTGCTATATCGATTGCAGTTACTTGGAATATTCTCAGCCTCTGTGAAGCTGCCTGCTTATAGTTTTAGAATAAGGTTCCTTCTCTAAGACTGAAAATCCGTTTTCAGTTCTCTTGTCAAGTGTGTGGTAACAGGAAGACATCCGAGCACAGGGCACACGGTGGTGTCCGCAAGTCTCTGGGTGGTGCCACTTCCGGGGAGTTGGACCGTTCCCAGTTCTGGGCCTGGGCGGCATCACACGAACCTGTCACTCCCCACTGCCACAGTCCCCCGTCTGTCCTGCACTTGGGCTGGAACAGTGAGGAACCCTGGCCGCGCTGCAGGAGGGCCATGTGCTCTGCACCCTTTCCTTCCTGGAAGGTCTGAGTCGAGCTGGCAGAACCGTGAAATCAAAGCAGGCCGGGTCCCCCCTGCTCGTCCGTGAGTCCATGAGAGGGAAGTGCCCCTTGGGGTAAAGCCCCGGGTACTCTGGTGTCTGACTGCCTGAGTCGCCCTAACTAGTCCGATCGCTAACCAGCGCTGTGACCTGGCCAACAAAAGCAGTTTTCAGTCTTCACTGTCCTCATCTAACGTGTGAGAGATGGCTGAGTGTGGTGGTGCTCGCCTGTAATCCCCGCCCTCAGGAAGCCCAAACAGGAGGATCACCGTAAGTTCGAGGCCAGCCTGGGCTTCATAGCGAGTTTTTAATTGTTGTTGTCGTTTTTGTGGGTGGTACTGGGGATCAAACTCAGGCCCTTGTACTTGCAAGGCAGGCAGCGGAACCTCTGAGCCACATCCCCAGCCCCATCATAGTGAGTTCAAGGCCATCCTGTATTACACAGTGAGACCCTGTCTCAAAGACAAAAACTGTGAATGAGTTGTCCTAGATAACCCCAAAGGTCATGTCATGATTTGTTGCTTTTTTGTTTGTTTGTTTGGTACCCGGGATTGAACTCAGGTCCTTACACTTGTGAAGCAGGTGGCAGAACCACTGAGCTAAATCTCTGACCCTGTTTGTTTTGTTTTTGAGACAGGGTCTTGCTATGCAGTTCAGGCTGGGCTAGAATTCATATAGCTGAGGATGGCCTTGAACTCACAGTGATCCTTGTGCCTCAGCCTCCCAAGTGCTAGGATAACAGGAGTTATCCACCACCACGCCTGGCCATGTCATGATTTTTTTCTTTTTTTTTTTTGTACTGGGAATCAAACTCAGGATGCTGCATTTTTTAGTCAGGCAGTGGTACCACTAAGCTACATCCTCAGCCATCATGATTCTTAATTGACCACGTTCTCTGACTTCCCCTGGACAGTTTCTGTCCATTTCTTTCCTTTTTAGCATCATTAAAGTGTTTGAGTCATATAAAATCTTCTCTCTGCCCCCGTGTCTCCAGATTCATGCATTTAAATCTCCTCCCTTTCTCAGGATGGATTTATCACCTTCTTCATCGACAGCCTTCCCTCCCGGCTGAATAAGACCCATGTGGTCAGAGGCATCTGAGGCCCTTGAGAATCTGTGGTTCTCCCACCCCTGATTTAGGGCATGTGGGCTTCACAGACTCTCACACAGCTAATGCACATCAGAGCCAAGAGTCAAATGCCTCCAGCCTGGAAATGAAGCTCTAAGAAAATGGTAAAAAAAAATTCAAACCACCAAATAAAGTGCAGTGACGAAGGTTGCCAGTAGCAACATCCCAGAAATGCGTAGAAATGTGTGTTACAAAGAGGAGCATGTGTGTTACGCTGACACCCAAGGCTGTTGAAGGCAACCTGGCGGG